AACACTTTAGTATGTTTGGCGCAAATAAGTAAACTCTTCCTACTAAGTTAAATAGTAAAAATGTAGATGTTATACTTGTGTTGCTCGGGGGAAAATTTCTTGTAGTATAATTAGTATTTAGGGGCCCTGTTTAAAATCACATCTCTTTTCGAAAGATCTCTAAAATAATCAAAATTACTTCCGTTGGTATTATTACTCATGGGGAAAAGGGATGAGTTTGCTGCTTCATTGCAGAGACAATGAATTTCTGCGACGTTTAAAAACATTATTTCTGCCCAAGTTCTTCTGCCTATTTTATTTCAATTCTGCTTAATTTACTATAAAATCTTGTGAATAAAACAAATAATTTTTATTCGAAATTTCTAAATCTTTGAAGTTTCATAACTTTTAATAAGTGGTGGATCTGTGGATCAATATGTAGAGAAGGTGGCAAGCAATATATCTGTAAAAAAAAAGTCACACAAATAATAGTGTTTTTTCGCTCCTCATACCCTTAATTGAAATTGAATTGTTACGCAGACCAGTTCTTAATAATCATAACAAAGAATGTCATGCTGCTGTTCTCGTCCGATTTAGTGTAACAAGTAAAATGTTTACACTATTTATTGTTTTTCACACAATATTACAATATTCAATATTAATATTAATTAAAAAAACGAAATGGCCTCAGAAACAAAGAGCCGTAAACCTGCAAGTTAGTGATTGAAGAATTTGTTTAAGGTTTATTTCAGATAAATTATACTCTGATTTTAACCTCTAAAGAATTTGCATTGTTTTAGATACCGCCTTTAAACAACAACGATTAAAAGCGTGGCAACCTATTCTTGCACCAAATACAGTTTTACCAACTCTTTTTATCGTTGGAATCATCTTTGCGCCACTTGGTGGTTTATTGTTATGGGCTAGTAACAATGTAAATAGATATTTATCAAAGAAGAAACAAGTACATTTTATTTTTCTATAATTTTTAATTACTAATTCGTATATAATTACCATACATGTTATAAATTTAGGTATCTGAAATTAGCTTTGAATATACATTTTGTGATTCAACAGCTCCAGTTTATCCAATTTTTGAACCAATGCCATCTAAATATATTCAAACTTCATTTCCTGGAGCGAATTCAGGATCTGTTGGATCAACACAATGGAGTCGTCAAGTTGTTGTACCACTTCAATCTAACCCCCAAAAGATACCTTATTGGGGTTGTAGAATAAGATTTGGTATACCAAACCAACTGGAGCCTCCAGTCTTTTTTTATTATTATTTAACAAATTTTTACCAAAATCATAGACGTTATGTCAAAAGTTTCGATTCTGATCAATTGAAAGGTGTGGCTGTTAGTCCATCAACTTTACAAAAAAGTGATTGTAAACCAATGGCCGTTACACCTGATGGTCTTCCAATTTATCCTTGTGGCTTGATTGCTAATTCCCAATTCAATGGTAGGTTATAACTATCGAGTAGATTGTTGTTGTTGCTATTCCATTTGTAATTTTAAAAAATCTCATATTAATATATATTTTTTAATTTTAGATACAATCAGTAATCTCTCACTTTTAAGTGAATCAAATTTTGATGTTGTTGAAGAATCATATAACTTTAATCAAAGTGGTATAGCATGGCCATCTGACAGACAAAAATATGGCAAAACAACTTATGAATACAGTAAAATACGTCCGCCGCCCAATTGGGTTGACAGATATCCTAATGGTACATACACAGATGAATATCCACCACCTGACCTTTCAAATGATGAACCTTTTCAAGTCTGGATGCGAACAGCCGGTCTACCTAACTTCAGAAAGCTTTATGGTAAAAATGAAATAGAGCCATTGAAAGCTGGAACCTATGAAGTTTTAATTGAATACAGTAGGTTTCCTTTTCAAAAAAAAAAAAAAATCATTTACCATTCATTTGTGCATATTTATATATAGTTAAATGAACAATATTAATAATATTTTTTTTTTAAAAAAAAAAAGAATTTCCTGTTACTAGATATGGTGGAACTAAATCATTTGTAATTTCTACTGTATCATTCCTTGGTGGTAAAAATCCTTTCTTGGGATATGCTTATATTGGAGTTGGTATTCTTTGTATATTGCTTGGATGTGTATTTACTGTTAAACATTTATACAAGCCAAGGTAACAAAAATATTATTACATAGACAATAGTAATAGTAATATGATTTTTTTATATCATTGAGCTAATTATTATGATTTTTCATTTTAGAAAACTGGGTGATCATACTTATTTGTCTTGGAACAATTAAACAAATAATCATCATAGAATTTTGAATCAAATTGTATATAATTTGGTTTAAAAGTTTTGAACAATTATTTTCAATTAGATCATTCATTATTCATTTATTCATTCATTCATTCATTTAATATAGATTTTTAGATTATTATTATATTTAGTAAAGTTAATACATTTCTATGCATTTATCATTTAATTTTTATTTTTAATCTCACATTACCACAAATTTAATAAATTCATTAAATTCGTCATAAAATATATAAAAATATAGTGTTACGATTTGTTTTTTTAAAGGTCTTCTGGATCCACTGCTTAAATCATTGGAACTTGAAGCCAATGAACTATTGGAAGTGTTTATTAGTTCACATGTAAAATTATCAACATCACCACCACCACCATTGCCATCATCATCATATTAATGGTATTGATACTCTTCCCATAAGAATTTTTCCATTTTAAATGATAAATTTTTTTGTGCCGCAAAAATCGTTTTTATTCAAACAAATAATTGTCAATATTGATATTAGCATAGTCGTGGGACATTGCAGATCAAGTGTCATTCAATATAAACGTTACACGAAAAAATTTATTGTCGTCCACTTCAAAAAAAAAAATCTCCATTTTTCATATAACAAGCAATTTTCGACCATGATAAAATTTTTAGAGCCAGAC